AACACACAACCACAAACACACAACCACCAACACACAACCACAAACACACAACCACAAACACACAACCACAAACACACAACCACAAACACACAACCACAAACACACAACCCCAAACACACAACCACAAACACACAACCACACACACACAACCACACACACACAACCACAAACACACAACCACCAACACACAACCACAAACACACAACCACAAACACACAGCCGCAAACACACAACCACAAACACACAACCACAAACACACAACCACAAACACACAACCACAAACACACAACCGCAAACACACAACCACAAACACACAACCACAAACACACAACCACAAACACACAACCGCAAACACACAACCACAAACACACAACAACAAACACACAACCGCAAACACACAACCACAAACACACAACCACAAACACACAACCGCAAACACACAACCACAAAGACACAACCACAAACACACAACCACAAACACACCACAGCAAACACACCAGCACAAACAACCACTGCCACGACGACGACGACTACTACTACCACGTCTACTACTACTACTACCACCACCACCACCACTACTCCTACTAGGCCCCCGGATGTGTCCAAGGCCCGAAGGTCGGGCCCCGAACTGTGCGCTGCTATTGCTACTACTACTACTACTACTACAACAACAACAGCAGCAGCTCGGGCCCCGGAAGTTTTCCAGTTTTGGGCCGCCCAGTACGACTACTACTGAAATGATCTGAGTTGTATTATTAGTTGGGCACAGGTCTCCTGATGAAAGCATTCGCTTCGGACAAAACAGTAAGACTTGGCGCTGAAGGACTTGTGCTCTGGGCTGAAATACACAACGAGGGTGATGTCAACGTGGCTATATTGAAATGTCATGGTGGGGATCACTTGAAGTAAAGTAATTTTTTGGTCGACCTGTGGAAAAGGCAGGGAGGGAGGGTCGACCAAGAAAAACTAAAAACATGAGTCGCCCCCCTCCTCCAGACTAGGAGCCTTTGGCAAAGGCGGACAAATCTAGCAGAACAGAGTGAAAAAGATGTGCTTTTTACGTTTGCAATTAATTTTCACAATTTTTGGAATGTATAGAACCTACTTTAAACTGAAGCATGCTGATATTACAGTATAGTGTGTTAAAATTGATGCTTTCACCATCAAGGATGAAGATGAAAAGAACCCAAGGGAGTGGCTTTTATTAACAAAATTGGAGGCTGGAGAGTGAGCAAGTATGTAGATATTAAATACTATAATGAACTTTACCAAGTTGTAGAAGATCAAGCTGTAGAAATACCAACATCTAAAAGTAGATAAAATCAACATGCTGAGTATGATACTGATACTGATGATATTGTTAGTAAAGTTGAGAAAGTGAACCAGGAAATGATTAGGATGTTACTTGCAGGAGCAAGCAAAAGTCATATCTGCCAGAAGATGGTTAATAATGGTTACGCTATATTACTTGTATGCCCTACTAATAAGTTATCACATGTTACACCGGTGAAAACTAACATTTTGGCAAAACACAGTAATTTCTTTTTTTGGGCATATGTTAGTCTAGTTTCCGAGCGGACACCGTTGAGACTAACCTAGACCAAATTCAGATGTGCCATGGTGGGCCCTACGGGTACTTGGCATGGTCCATGTTAGCCTCCACCGGGCTATGTTGACCTCTACCGGCGCGGTCTATGTTAGCCTGCGTTCAGTTTATATTCAGAGTGCAGTTGGTCCATGTTAGTGTCAAAATCGATCATAGACTGAGAGTAGGAACGGTCCATGTTAGTGAGGGTCCAGAAATTGCCAAAAAAGGCGCTAATACCGTTTCGCCAGGAAGTCACCGTTTCCAGTGGTCCATGTTAAAGCGCACTTGAAATTGAGTTACGGTCTGTTGTTTTTCACCGGAGTATCACTTTAATTTGAAGTTGATGCCTGAACAATAAACAACAATATTTTTGGTATAAGTTTTGATGTTTAAATGCAACCACTAGATTATTCAGATTTTGATGTCATAGCAATTGATCAAATCTATTTCATCAATTTTGAGTATTTATTGCAATGCCACACAATTGTTGAGCAATATTTCTTGCAACACGTGATAACAAACAACTCAAACCAGTTCAGGAGCTGACAAATAGGTATATCAAAGAGCTTCTTTTGCAGCACCTCTTTTTATTGGAATGTATAACACCTACTTTAAACTGAAGCATGCTGGTATTACAGTATAGTGTGTTCAGTGTTAAAATTGATTCTTTCACCATCAAGGCTGAATATGAAAAGAACCCAAGGGAGTGGTTTTTATTAATAAGATTGGAGGCTGGAGAGTGAGCAAGTATGTGGATATGGACTGACCTAATGAACTTTACCAAGTTGTAGAAGATCAAGCAGTAAAAATACCAACATCTAAAGATGGAGAAAATCAACATAAATCAAAATAATGCAGTTCATGACAGTGAGTATGATACTGATACTGCTGATATAGTTTGCAAAATTGAAAAAGTGAACCAGGAAATGATTAGGATGTTACTTGCAGGAGCAAGCAACAGTCATATCTGCCAGTAATGGTTACGCAATAATACTTGTATGCCCTACTAATAAGTTATCACATGTTATCACATTAATTTGAAGTTGATGCCAGAACAATAAACAACACTATTTTTGATATAAGTTTTGATGTTTAAATGAAACCATTAGATTATTCAGATGTTGATGTCATAGCAATTGATCAAATCTATTTCATCAATTTTGAGTATATATTGCAAAGCCACATAGTTTGTTGAGCAATACTTTTTTGCAACACGTGATGCCAAACAACTCAAACCAGTTCAGGAGCTGACAAATAGATATAATATCAAAGAACTTCTTTTGCAGTACCATTTTTTTGGAATGTAGAAAACCTACTTTAAACTGAAGCATGCTGGTATTACAGTATAGTGTGTTAAGATTGATGCGTTCACCATCAAGGCTGAAGATGAAAAGAGCCCAAGGGAGTGGTTTTTATTAATAAGATTGGAGGCTGGAGAGTGAGCAAGTATGTGGATATTGACTGACCTAATGAACTTTACCAAGTTGTAGAAGATCAAGCAGTAAAAATACCAAGATCTATATAAACATAAAGAAATTCAAAATGATGAGCATGATACTGATACTAATGATATTGTTAGTAAAATGGTGAAAGTTAACCAGTAAATGATTAGGATATTACTTGCAGGAGCAAGCAAAAATCATATCTACCAGAAAATGGTAGATGTTTGGTATAAGTTTTAGCAACTGAGTGTTTATTGGAAGGCCAAATAGTTTGTTGAGCAATATGTTTTTGCAACACGTGATGCCAAACAACTAAAATCAGTTCATGAGCTGGCAAATGCCAAGATTATGAAACAATATGCTGATGCAATGATGGACAATACTGTATGTTTGAGCATAAAGTGCTACTGAAAGTATAGAAACGACTGAACACAGAAAAGGATGAACAAACACTAAACAATATCAAGAACTATATACTTGTAAACTCCCAACACTAAACTAATTAATTGAGAAATACTTTAGATATACTAATGATATTACGTCGTCAACATACTACATAGCTTTTTTTGAATAAGACCTATAAACAATCATATAAATCATATGTTTGGGTTTAACAAAACGCCGAAAACCACGTATTTTTGGGGACCTGGTGGTGTCCCACTGTGATATATTTATATGTCTTTGCCTCAAAGGTGTATGGTTGATAATATGTGCATAACATGCGGTGCACAAACCAGCAGGAAGCTCTGCAACGTCATGGCTTGGGGTAGTGTGTTATCTCCTGCCACATGTGTCACTCACACAATACAGCCATGTGAAGGACACCACTGTTTGCAATAAACGGCGCATGTCACATCACTGAGTCACTGCACCCGCTCTAGTTGGAGGCTCCGGCACATATCAATTGCTGCCTTGGTGCATGCCCCAAAACAGTCTTTTTGGTCATGAGCCCGAAAATTGTGGATGGTGTGAGGGCTCGCAACTTTGTGTGCGCACCCTGAGCAAACATTGCCGATGTTGGCTGACAACACTTAAAAAGTTGACTTCCTTTGGGCTGCGACTCTTGCGCGCCAGAAGGCACTTTAATCAAAATTGCACCGTGCAAAATGTCAGTATTGGTCAAACACATCAATTCTGCCCTAGCCTGTGCAAAAGGCTGTCTGTGGCACCACCAATGTTTGCAAGATTCTTCTTCAGCATCTGGCCCATCAAGCGCCTGATTTGCTCATCCATGTTTTGCAAGCTGCCCAATTCTGACACGATGTAATTGAAGATGTCGTTCCTTGCAGAATTGGAACATTTGTGGCAAGAACTGCAGGCCTTAATCACTGTTGAAAACGTTGAAGAACATGGGGGAATTGGGAAGTATGTTGGTACCGAATACAGTAGAGCTTGTGTCCGAGCTTCTTGTCTTGTTCACTTGATGCTTGGCAATTGGCGACTTGCAGGCACTTGATCTTCTTGCCCAGTTTCAACGCGATATCAAAGGATGTGCAGCTGCCCTAGGGATGGAGGAAGTGTTGACGGTGGACGAAAATCCAATCAATCTAAAAACATGTACATCATGCATTTTGAAGAAGCAATTGTGCAACCACATTGAAATACATGAACCTGTTTGATTTTGATTTTCTTTGACGGCTAGTCTTGCTTCAAGACTGCAGATGATATAAGACACATCACACAAAAGAAACAACAACCAATGACAACCACTGCTGGCCGAGCATCATCTCCCACCACACCGACATCAGTGGAGAACACCGGCTCCAAGTTCTCCCGGCTGGACAACAGGAACTCAAACAAGCACCAAACTCCTGGCAGGTCTTGGTTGGGATGGCAAAATAGACCTGGATGATACTGATACTAGATGTGTGAACACATGCAATGACCCACAACTACATGTTCGAACGAGCTTCTGGTGAGTGGCTGCACTTCGTGATCCAATACCATCACGGTGCCTTTCACGCCACCCGTCAAGGCCCTCGCAAATGCGCTCTCCATGATCGTTGACCCCAAGTCCTCCTTGATCTTCCACTGGTTATTTGCCTGAATTTTCTTTGAACCCCTATTTTTTAGGAGGTTCACCACTGTTGACGTCAACTTGCGGGAACCTTATGAGTATTGTAATTTACAAGCCTCCATTTCATCCGAATGGACTTACTCCAATCAATGAATAGTCTGCCGAACCAGGCCCCAATCTGGATGACATTTCCCTGTCGAGTGTGCATATTCTCTTTGTTTTCTATCTCGGTTCCTCTGTTTTGTTAATAATAGATGTTTACCCTCCGATGACCTGTGAAACCGAAGGGCCGTTGGGTTGCGATCGGACGTGCGTAAATATCGTTGGCAGGCTCACCAAAGCTTCTTGCGATCTACCTTGTTAAGTATGGTCCCAGCCACGAAGGAGCAAATCCAGTAGCTCGTGTCCATCCATGTGGAGCCCTCTTTGGACAAAGCATGGCACCGTATCGACTGCGTGAAGTGAGCAAAGCTCGTCCCCCATGAATGTGACCTCTTTAAGGGAATTGAATGCAAAGAGCAGGCACTTCCAACAGCTCAAACAGAATTCGCCAAAGGTTTAGGTTTAGTTTTTCCAGCTGATAACAAAAACATGTCTGAACCAGACCAAAGGCACACAAAGTAGTCCACCTTTCTACCGCCCCAAAGTCCCACGAAGGATGTCTGACGCTGAGAGGTCAAAGGTGTTACAATGTTGGCCACAATGAAGTGCATGTTGCGTTCCAAGATAAAGCCTCACACGTTCAAGTCCAGCACTTTGTCCCACAAATGATCCCTGGAAAACACTGAAAATTGTCTTAGCAATCTTGACTTGCCAGGTGTGGATTGTGATCATAGAGCCGAAGAGGCTCAATGAACGCAACGTCCAGTACATTTCCCAAAGATGAACCAACGACTTGGCTCTCAACAGTCAAGAGGCTCTCAAAGTGCTTCCACAACTCGTAAAGGGTGCTGGCCAGCAGGCCTTGATTCTTTGGATGATCTGCGTCAGGTCCGGGATGCGGTTTGTGTTGGATCTGCTTCTGATATTCACTCAAGGTGTCGGCATAGGGTGTCCTCTGATAACGCCAGCGGATGAGGCAAGCGACAGGGTAGTACAAGAGGGCTGCCACCACGCCAATTGGAAGAATGCAAATTGCTAGGGTGACCTTGGTTTGGAGAAGGACACTCACAAATGAGACCTCTTTTTCTGACCTGGAACGCAAAGCAGCAAAACAAAACATGTTGAAAGCCAAACGGCTAGTGTGTGTTGAAACGTGTTGCCCGATGCCACTGAAACTTGAATGGCCACAGGCAACAACACAAAAATGAACAAAATGCCGACGATGAGGAAGAAAAGGCGACCGATCTCAGTGGGATGCAAAACCCCTCCACAGGCCGCGCAATCGAACGGCACATGTGCATCTTTCAGGCGAAGTTTTCTGCGAGAGATCCCGCAAACTTTCACATTGTTGGCTTTCTCCGCATCAAAATCTAGCCACTGCAGGCCCGTCCCTGTGATACGATACGAGACCAATTCATGCACCCTTGCAGACATCTGCTTGGGCAAATCAACTATGGGTCCTTGCACAGACATTGCAAACGATCTTTTTGGAACTTCTTCCGGAGGATCGTTCACTGCATCTGATCTTGCATCAACCACATACAGGGGCGCAGCCAGAAGTTGGAGAAGGATGAATGCGGACACCACAAAAATGATTGCACCTGTCAGTATTGCTGTAAGCTCTGCCTTCTCTCGCGGCAGCATATGGCACACATCAGTTTCTCCATCGGACCAGGCGCTGTACAAAGGACATTTCTGACATTTGTCGTCGACATAGTGCTGGTGGAGCTCACCTCATCTGTCAAAGAAACAGTTGCAACGTCTAACACTGGCCGAATTATATAATATGCAGGGTTCGGAAAATAGTGTGCGGGCTTTGTTTAGTGCATAGCGAGCCACAGAAAGCGCAAGTGTCAAAAACATCCTCAACCGGAACCACCTGCATGCCACGGAAGGGCTCGCTTGTGATCCTTGGCCAAAGTTCAAAGTGAACTTCAAGAATCACCCATGCACTTGATCTGCCATATCTCCAGCAATAGTCGAAACCACAAAAAACAACAGCAAAGAACAGCAAACAAACAAAACCAGGCTAAAGAATCTTGTAGTCAGTGCAAGTACAGAGCGGAGTTGTCCCGCCTGACCTCGTGTTCAACGCCAGCTCTTAACAATGTGAGAAGAACTCTGAATGCTCTTGTCCAAGTTTTGCATGCGGACTGCAAAACACTGTTCACAAAAAAGTGCTGCCTGGCGACATTGTGGCAATGCTGGGGCATGCAAGATTCTCTTTTGGGCTTAGAGCATGTAAGGAGTGTGAAGTGGCATTGAATGTCACCCCTTGTGCACATTTCTGGCAGGAGATGACCATGGAATTTATGGTGAAGCTTTCCTGCAAGGAAACCAGAGTTTGGAGAATTGTACAGCTAATGATCGACCAAGATTTGTCGCACACAGTTGCATGTCAAAACATGTCATCAAATCTTGTGCTGTCTTGATAGATGCTCAATTCATTTTGGCGATTCACCCCGGACCTGCACTTCCAGGAGTTGCACGTTGTCAAGCTGCGGTTCAAAGTCGACACTGACGTTCTCTACCACCACGTGGCTTGGAGGAGGCCCACCACTGCTCCAGAGGGCAGTAGACCATGACTGGAGATGAATGCCGGACAGGTATACAGTCTCGGATGGACAAGCTGCCACCTTCATGAAACTCGAGCTCAAAGCACCACTTGCCTGCAAAGCTGCATCACTGGCTACTTGAAGAGTCCCTGCTGTGCAAACGCAGCCACCATTGCGTAAATCCAGGCCATGACCTCCGTTAACATCTTCCATGAGAAATGCAGACTTAGGGCCAAGCTGCAAGCAGTTTGCCACCAACACAGCGGAGTATTCATCACCTCCTGCATCAGAAATGGCCAACTTGGATTGAGTGAGAATTGCCGGGCCATTGACAAGACCTCCAGCTCCTGAGTCTGCAGTGGAGTTGACGATAGAGATTGATCCACTGCTCAAAGACAGTGCAGATCTTATGGCGAAGCCTCCTGCAACCCGTTTTGCGGCAGCACCACGAACGCTCACCTCGCAATCTCCAAGCAAAGCCCTGCCCACGTTGAAGCCTCCACCATCTTCTCCCGCACTGCTGTTGAAGATTTCAATGATAGAAGAATTGGCTTCAAGATCGTCTTCTACATAAAATCCCCCTCCATTTGCTCCAGCTGTGGCCATGTGAATGCTGAGTGCTGAATTGCCACTCACCTGCAAGCGTCTATCAACAATCGCTCCAGCACCATCGTCCAAGGTCCTGGTGGCAAATCCTCCACCATCTCCCGTGATTGCATGGCAATCAAACATCTTCACCTTGGACTGCCCATCAATCACCACTTCCCCGTCTGCAAGGAATCCTCCTCCACTGCTGCCTGCCGTGGAGTTGTGAATGCTGAAGGTTGAATTTTCCATGACATGCAAGCCCAGTGCTGTCGTAAAGCCACCGCCATTTCCATCACCTAAATCGGCATGGGTGTCAGCAATGCTCACGGTTGATACCCCTACAACGATGACCTTTCCTGAAGCAGTGAACCCTCCCCCGTTTCGGCCTGAAGTGGCGCGTCGAATGTTCAGTGTCGATCTGTCGCTCACTTTCACTGTGTGCGCCGCAACAAACCCTCCACCATCACCACCTGCATGGCTCTCAACAATGCTCACCGTCGACATGCCTGACACCACGGCATCATCAGCACAAAAAGCTCCACCACTTCCCGCCGAAGAAGTATTTTGAATGCTGAGCTCTGATTTGTTTGTCACTTGCATATTCTTTCCCACAATAAAGCCCCCACATCTACCAGCTGCATGACATTCCAAAACTCTCACTTGCGACATCTCAGTGACAACAAGGCTGTCAACAACGAGGAACCCCCCTCCTCTATCCTTCGTTGCTGTGACGTTCTTGAGGTAAACAACTGAATGATTGCTCACGTGCAGGTTCGGTGTGAAAAACCCTCCAGCTTGCCCACCTCTAGCATTCTGAATAGTGAGACTGGAGCCGTTAGCCACCTGCACTAATTTACTCGAAGCGAATCCTCCACCACCTCCAACAACCAACGTGTCATTGCCTTCGACGGTGCTGTCTGAAATGTGGACTGTCGACATCTCTGCGAACGGATGGAAAGCGTGCCCTGGCCCCGTTCAAGCCCTTAGTCCAACATGAAGCTCGCGCGCTAAAGCTCCTTTTCGCCTGGTTGGGCAC